TTTGAAATTCTAGTCTTGGCTGATGTTATAACTGTGACCAAAACTGTAGATTTATGACGGGTTAACTTGCTTATGTGATTTCTAAAATTGTAATTTATACAAATTGGACAAAAGTGCCTTGCATGGCTAAAAACAGTATTGATGCTGAATGCTAAAATTTGTTGTAGTATTATAGATTGATATTCCATTTGGTGAAATTTTCCTGTGTGAATTGTAAAAAAAAGAATAATAATAAAAAAGCTACTTTTTGTATATTTTATTTACCCATTTTCCTCAATTCATAAATATAATAAATAAAAATAAATCCTTCTCAGACATAAATATCTAAAAAGTAGCAAGTCGTATGAAGGTCACACAACAACATTACAAATCACTATTAATTGCATTACCACCCATATTAAAAGTCTACTGTCTATCTAACACTGGAAATCTTAGCCATTTTCAGTCACTGAAAATGAGTGTCTACAGGTTTGTAAATGTCTATCCTCATAACAGCATCAACAGTGGAGCCTCTCAACTTTAATAATGAGAAGAAACACCTACACGTACACCGGGAGAGACATGAGCAGTGAGAAAGTCGAAAGCTGAAATTCTAATTGCGTTAGTGCTAAATGCCATCATTTAGAGCTCTCTCAACTGTCTGGCAGCCTCAGGCACTGAGAGAGACTCCATATGCGCACCACTGACACCAAACCACTCTCAAAGAGAGGCAGAAATGGCAGCCTGAGTGGAATTAGCCTAGTACAAAATTAAAATGTTATCACCACCTGCCTGGCTTCTATCTGCTCTTTACTGGATGTGTGATTTCCACTCTTGCAGCTGCAGTGTGCCTGTCTTAACACATGAGGGCAGCACTCATCGGTGAGGCCTTGGAAAGGAAGGAAGCATTGCATTTGGCCTGAGTCATATGGAGATGCTCCAAGCATAACCCACACAGCACACACGCAGACACATATAAATACACTCACTAATATATTTATGTGTAATAAACCTTCCACCAGAATTACGAGTAAATATTTACATACCAGCTACTAACATTTATGACATAAACTCTGTGCAGAGCAGATGGGGTCCATGTCCAGCTCCAATATCTAAACCCAGGCAAATGTTCATCCTTTGGTTTTAAAGGAATACTACAGTGTTATTTAGATTATTTTGGATGGATGGATGGTTGGACGGGCGGACGGATGGATGGATGTATGTATGGATGGATGGATAGATAGACAGATAGAGTTTAACAGTTTTTTTCTGTTTTTTTTTCTGAGTACATGGAAGCATATTGTAATTATTGTCTGTGTCTGAACCGCGTGTTACACTCAGGGGACTTTCTCAGCTCAGAACAGAACTCACTACTGCTTACATACCAACTCCAGCACTTGTAATTATAAGCCAGAGACATGTTGGATGTTTTTCTTTTTTCACACGTTGCATTCCCACTGGAGCACGCTCAGCAAGGCACAAACCCCTACAGCACTGCATGAGGACATACAGAGGTGACTCTGGTGTTCATGATCTAAGAGCTAGTTTTCATTTCACTGGGTCATTTCAAGCTTACAACAATCTGTTTTATCACTGACTCTTGTGTGATTTAAAAGTCTTAAAATATATAAATCAGATGCAATGACACATAAATCAGATGCAATGAGACATAAAAATGTATAGGGTACTCAAAAATAAGTTGAGAAGCAGTAATTTAAAGTAGTTAAATGGTATTGCAATGTTAGGAAAATGTAAATATTAGAAACAGTAATTCAGAGTAGTAATAAGTCAATTCTAGATACAGTACTTTAGACTAATAAAGTGGCACAGCAATGTTAGGCCACTAAATAAATATTACAAATATTACAAATATTAATTTAGAGTAGTACAGTGGCATAGAGATGTTAGTGGGCTTTGCAAATACTAGAAACAGTACATTAAAGTAATTCAGTGGCATAGCAATGTTAAACTAAATAAATATTAGAAAAAGAGTAGTAAAGTGGTATAGCATATGTTACGGGACTATGTAAATACTAAAAATGGTCATTGAAAGTAGTAATGTGGCCTGGCAGGTTCAGGAGACTGTGTATACATTAGAAACAGTAATTTAGAGTATTATAGTGGCATAGCTGTGTTAGGAGACCACGTAAACATTATAAACAGTTATTTAGAGTAGTAAAGTGGCATAAGGATGTAAATTCTAGAAACAGTATTTCTGAGTAATTAAGTAGCATAGCAATGCTATGAGAATAAGAAAATATGTGAAACATTACTTTAGAGTTGTAAAAAACATAGTGATGTTAGTGGACTATGCAAATACTAGAAACAGTACTTCAGAGTAATTAAGTAGCAAAGTTATTTTAGGAAATTATGCAAATATTAGAAACAGAATAAAGAAAGTAGAATAGTAATGTTAAGGGACTATGTTAAATACTAGAAACAGTACTTGAGAGTAATGAAGTGGTGTAGCAATGTTTGGGGGCTATATGAATATTAGAAGCAGTCATTTAGAGTAGTAAAATGGCCTAGCAATGTTAGGAGTAATATTGAGTAGTACAATGGCATATGGATGTAAATTCTAGAAGCAGTACTTGAGAGTAACTATGTAACATAGCAATGTTTGGGGTCTATTTAAATCAGGGAGCTCCTGTCCTGGAAGGCAGGTGTCCAGCACAGTTTGGTAATTCCCCCGCTCATACACACCTACTAAACCTGGCAGGTAACAGATGAGTTGAATCAGGGGTGTTTGTACAAACTCGACACCGGCCTTTGATGACCACAGTTGAACATTCCTGATGCAAATAATAGAAACAGTAATTTAGAGTATTGAAGTGGTATAGCAATGTAATGAAACTATGAGAACATTCATGTACGCAGTATGTAATGTGTAAACATTAAGAGGCCATGTCTTCCTGCTTTAACTACTTAAGCACTATGGTTTTCTGTCTGAACAAGTATAGAGATGAGCTACTGTTATACAAGATCAACAGTGACGCACGCTGCTGACTGCTGGGAAAAGAATGCCTCCCAGAAATTTGGGGCCTATGCATGCATGTGTGTATGTGTGTGTATGTGTGTGTGTGTCTGAGAGAGCGCAAAGCCGTACAGAACGTTTGTGTCACGCAGAGCACAGGGTCCACACCCTAAGTTTATACTCACTCCTTTGTCCTACCCTTATATCCTACCTCAAACAGATGATCTAAGATCTATGATTAGCACTTCTGTTGCTCCAATGCTCTACAAGCACATAGAGAATTGTCCTGAAACCAACTGCAGAACACCTTCCATTACACAAAACAGCATACAAAATGAGACTGAGAGTAAAGATATGTTTTTTTTCTGTAACACATAGCCTGTACTCTAGTAAAACAACCTCGGGAAAAATATAACTCTATTCTGAGGTAAACAATTTCTATTTGAGGTTATAAAATGCAAATTCTTGTTCCTGACCAACAAACAGATCTAACACTAAAACATCATGATACATGCAACTAAACTAATATTGAGGAGGCACCAAAATACTGATTGAAAGAATTTAGTTGCAAATGCAGTATTGTTATTTTCATGCATTTCTGATGACTATTTACTAATGCTAAGCAAGGTTACACCAGTACAGGACACAGCAGAACGGGTTTGCCCATAAGGGTCTGGAGCATTCAAAGCTTCCTTCCTGTTCTCCAAGTCAAAGTCACTTCTTTCCCTTGAGTGAGGAGTGTCCACTTTGCCACAATCACTCCAAATTTATTTTTAGGGTATTACAGACCTCTCAGCCTTAGCTAAGTGCTACATACCCATGACTAAGAAAACAACAAGGGGATGAAACGTTCGGCAGTAATTCAGTTCACCAAAGTAAACACGCACAGGAGTGTCCTTAACATCTATACAACAATTAACCCTTTAAACTGCAGGACATTTAATTAGTTACTGATCTTAAGACATTATTTGTTGACTACTATACATTACTATACACTGTTACGCATATACTATCAACTGGTATGATATTATAATATGCAGTACTGTGCAAAAGTCAGACACCAACCTATATTAATTGAAATTCGTGTCAAAATAGAACTTATATAAAATATATAATATACAAATTTTAATACCAAGTATCATTTGTTTTAATTCACTGTGTCCATTCTTTGGCTTTATTACAGGTTCCATTCTTTTCATGAGACTTGTTTATAGTTTTTGAAAGAAATGGAAATGTCCAAATTTGAGAAAATAGTTGCATTTTCTGCTTCTTCCAATCCAAGTAATCCCAAACACATTCAGTTATCCTGAGCTCTGGACTTAGAGTCCATTGTTCTGAGGATACCAGCAGCCTCTGATTTGCAAGTTTTCTACTTTTTTGTCTATTTCCTTGCCTCAGTAATGGCTTCCATAGTGTTGAGTTGTTTTCTTACAGGGGAAGGATGGACAAAAACACCTGTGGAAAAGTGGAGCCAGATTTGCTCATTTCTCTCAAAGATGAAAGCTTTAAGTACTGTTTATCTGATTTTTCCTCCCATCCAATTCTGGAGGTCTACCAGATCTCAAATAATAATTAAGGATCCCATCTTTTCTTTATCTTTCAATAATGCTTTGAACGGTTTTGTAAACTCCTGTTTTTTCTCTTATTTTTCTTTGATTTTCCCCTTCGTTATGCAGGTAGACTGTCATATATCTAATCTCATCAGAAATATCGGCTGAAAATGAATAACTTGTATTTAATAGTCATTTGAGTGGAAATTAAATCAGTGAAGGGTGGTATAGGCCTGCCTATGCACCATTATATTTTAAGGCTCTATAGTGCACTAAATTTAGTTTATTAAAATGTATGTCATTTCCACATGAATACAATATATTAAATCAGCACAATTTTGTTTTTCAGTTTACTTTTAGTATTTATGTTGATGTAATATATTCTGTTATATTCTTATTATATATTTCATTATTGTGGAAATGATGCATGCATGTTTCCAGTGTATCGTTTTGAGTTCATGGATTGTATCATGAATTCTAGTCTCATAATGCCTTACCTTTCTCTCTGGTCAGGCCTTGGAACAAAGCAGGGGGCGTGGCATGTCTTTCGGAACCACGGCGACTCTGGCTTGATCGTCTCCTCTCCCCAAGTCTCTCCCCAGCAGGCTGCTCCACCTTCAGCTCCGGCAGGTTTGGGCTGGGGGCTGAGGGACTGCTGCCAGGCTTGGGCTTCTCCTCCACACTCGAGCTCTTCTCTTTTGGAGTGATGCTTGGGGCAGGGGCAGAGGGAGGAGGGGTGGGGCTCACTGGGGGAGCAGCACTGGCTGTGGCTGAGGGGGAAGGAGGCTCAGGCAGATCTGGGTCGGTCTTGCCTGGCTTGGCGGTGGTGGAGTCCAGCGGGAATCTCTTGGGGCTTTCTTCCCCACAGGATTCCAGGGCCAGCTCACTGTCAAGTTCAGCCTCACGCTCCTCCCGCAGGATGCTGTATTGCATGGCTGGGCTGGGGGATGTCACAGGGACCACAGCAGGAGCAGGTACAGGGGCTGGAGGGGCAGATGGGGCAGAAGCAGGGGCTGGAGCAGGGGTTTGAGTAGAAGCAGGGGGTGATGGAGTGGTGGTGGGACTTTTGCTGAAGCTCATGTAGCCAGAGCTGGGAGCCTGTGGACTAGGCTCTTCAGATACAAGCTCAATCTCAGAGTCGCCAGATTCTCCACCGCTGGCATCAGCATCCTTGGCATACAAGGGAAGAGAAGGGCTGCTCTTACGCTCCTCTAAGGAACTCTGCTTCAGGGCAGTCTGAGAGGGTGGTAAAGAAGACTCCACAATCTTCTCCTGAGTGGAGCTTACAGTTTTCATTTCGCTGGCCTGAATCACTGGATCAGATGGAGAGTCAGACTCTTCTGTAATGACAGAGAGACAAAGAATGTAGAGACAGAGGTCAGTTTTTGCTGCAGGTACAGAACAGTGTCTGCCTGGTTATAGCCATCTGCTGCGCTAAGACATCCCACTGAGTGAGCATGTGTGGAACCAGTCATTCAAAGAGATGGTGCTTGGCTTCAGCCCAACAGCACACAGACCACAGGCTAACACAAAGCTGCTGCACCATAAGAATCTATACCAGCCATAAACCTTGCTACCACTTACCTTTTCTGATTATAGCTCAAACTATTCAAGAGCTAAAAACACAAAAAAACAAAATGAATCATATTAGTAATGGCCTGCAAAAAGCTTTTAACTACTATGTTAAAAACAGGCATAGCCTCAAGCTTGCTCTCATCTGGCAGGCAAAGGTTTTTTACCATTATTTTATCTTTAATATACTATAACCTACTAATTTTCTTTAACATTACATTTTGTGTGCTTGTAGTGGTTTAACACAAGTATTTGTCAAGTTGTCAGACATAACTGACTATTTGCAAAATTCTAATTGACACGCCTCTCAGCCAATCACAATTGTCTCTAAACATTCCTTCCTCCATGAAGCATAGGAAAACCTTTGGAAAAACTCCTCAAAAACCTGCAGTGAGAATGTTGATGGAAGTAAATTAGTCAGAATTACCAGAATGAGGAATGGTGGAAAGGTGTTACTGAGGAACTTGTGATGCCTGATACACTATTTTGATCATCTTGAGGGTGCTGCTGTTCTTATTTCATTCTTGAAGCTGATAAGGTTTTGGTTTTATCTGTGTGGAAGACCTCACTCACAGCTCAGTGACAGAACTAAAACAAACAAACAGTATTATGCTGGTTCTACGGTAAGCTAAACACTATTGTTTTATTAAAGTTTGGCTAAAGGACCTTGTGTAGAAGACAGTGAGTCCTACTCAGCATCTAACGTAGCTTGCTTCACTAAAATCTCCTCCTTATAAAGCTTAAGGTCAGGTAACTAAACGATTTTCCTGGTTTGATTAATTTAATCATGGTTCCCAGAATCCATTTTGTCCACTTTAAATTGGCCTACATGCATGTTGAATGAAAACTGCTTCAAATGTTCACCTCTGTGTGCTTCTAAAATTTCCTTTGTAAGCACAAGTATTAGGGATGTTCCCCGGTAGTCTGAACTGAAAGTCCGATGAATGTAGCAACAATACGAGGCGGGACTTTCACAGAATTCTGCAGTTTTGTTGAACAAAGCATGTCTATGAGCCTGCGTTGCTTATATTTATCCGTCTTTATTCATAATTTATCCAGAGATTTTTATTGAAAATTTGAACTGAGAATGTGTCCATTGTATTAAATTGTAAATTAATAAAAACTAACGAATCAATTTTTGACCTGATTTCAAAAGCATTGACAAGCTTGTGTCACTGGCGCCAAACTGTGTGTCACGTATTCGGCCAGCCAGCCTCTAAACTACGATTCCCAGAATCCTCCGCTTTATCACATGACTCCAGGAAGATCTTCAGCAGCCTATCACCGCTCTAGCTCCCCTGAATATTGATCATTTTCACCTGTGTGTTTGTCATGTGATCTATCTAGTTTAGTATTTTAGCCCGGGCTTTAGCGTAGGACCGTTGCAAGGTATTGTTTTCTAGTAAAACTACTGAGTGTTCTTTCTGGTTTTTGATCTCCCCTGTTCTGACCTTGTGTTTTGACTTTGTTTCTCGGATTTTCGGATTTGCCCTTTTGTACTGTTGCCTGGATTGCTGGATATATGGTTTTTGACTTTTGCCTGTGTTTTGGACTCTGATCTGCCTAGCCTTATTATGTTTTTGTTCGCCTACTGTGTATTTTGCTGTGACTGTGTACTGACGACGATAACTCTAAGTAAAGCTTCTTCACTTTTTACATCCGCGAGCGTCTGCTCTCTGGTCGCACGTTACACTGTGTACTTGTGGATGGCTGTCGTCAAGCATGATAACTATCAACAAAAGCAGATTATTGGGCACTGAAGCTATGACTTCAGCAAATGACTGGGCATTCCAAAATCAGAGTGATATGTGGGAATAAGAGTCTGCGGACAACTGGACAAATCTTGATTTGCAGAAGTGGGTGGTACTCACCAGTGAGAGGTGGTGTGGAGGAGCCAGGACTTTCATCCTCTGGCTCGGACAGGGTGACAATGGGCACTCCCTGCAGCCCCAGACTCAGGATGCTCTCTTTCTCTGACACTGTGACTGGTGTTGTACGCTGCGTGGCGGTGGGAGACACTGATGGCATCTCAGTCAGGGTGATCTTGACCGGGCTGGCGTTGCCTTCGGCTCCTGGAGAGCGGTAGGGTTGGTAGTCACTTAGCTCGTCATCTGAAGGCTCCTCGACGTAGGGCATGTTCTGTGAGTCCAGTGCTGCCGCAGGGCCCAGGGTCTCCACCTCCACTGGAGAGGGGCTCTTCTCCAGGTAGCGCTCTCTGCCTAGGCTGGGCAGCGGGGCAGAGACATTTCTTATTCCCCAGTCCTCCAGGGGCCGCTGTGGCTCCTCCCTGCTGCTGATGTCCATGTAGCTGTAGGTGGAATCGGAAGGCTTATCTGAGTCACGCAGCTTGTGGGAACTGTATCCAAGCTCGGCACTCGGGGTCATCTCAATGCCTGAATCTGAGCTGAACATGGCAGACTGGGACTCCAGGCCAGGAATGAGGTCATCAGTGCCCTCTGGGTACTTCTGTTCCCCTCTGCCCAGGTCACCCGAGAAATAGGAGGTGTCTTGCTGGGAGGAGTAACTCTGACTGGACAGGAGAGATGTGTAAGGGTCACCCAGGTCACCGATGGATTTCTTCAGCAGGTCTGTATCCAGTTTATCTGTGAGGTAAAAGAGACAGAAAAGATACTGTGAACAAATTTAGGTGTGACTGAGATAAAAAGTGTTTTAATGATACAGACTTTAAAGAGCTAAAAACTTCTAAAAGTGAAAAGTTGTGAAATTTATGACAAACTATATGTCAAAAGTGCAAACTCTACCACATGCATTCACGTTATTAATTATGTAATCATGTATAAAAAATAAGTAAGAGGAGATACAAATATGGGTTGAATATCATGGTAAAGTTATTGCTGCGTGCAGTCTTTGCCACTTTTTGTCACTTTTTGACATTGGAATCAATGGCATTTGTAATTTGTGACATAACTATGTAATTAATTCTGTAATGATACATAAATAATTATGTATTACAAAAACATAGGAAAAAAAAAAACAAAATTAATTCTATACCTCTAAGGGTTGAAATCACAAGCACAAACACTGCACATGAAGCATGTTGTGGCCAATCGCGGAATACAAAACCTAGATGAGAGCGTAAGCAGCGCACTGTGTTTACTTCAGTTTGCATACATGTGTTTGTGTAAGTGTGAGAAACAAACACAGAAAGACAGTATGAAGAGAAGGGGACCTGCTTATCCATGCAGTGCTAACACAGGCCGCATGTGGCTGTGGGAAGACAGACAAGCATTGTTCCAAACAGATCCCACACAAAACCCACACACAGCCATCCAAACACATCCAGTGCGGAGGATATGCACTAATACCAAACCCACTCCATATTCATTTCGGAAACATCATAGACCTGATCTGTGGTGAATTTCCTAACAGCCTCTGACTTCTCTCTTTCAGAGTAGGACACAATTTATGACATCTGTGCAGTGCTTTTAGAGGATGTTTATTTACAGCACTAAATCTAAGTTTCTTCTATATGGGCGTACAGTACAGATGGCACGAAAAATCAAATGGCAGAATAGTCAAACAGGATGTAGTTTTTATATGTAATGCTGATAATGGTAAAAATCTGAAAAAATATGTTTTCTTTGGGGACTATTTTGCCTTACAACGCATCTCTCTGTACCTCTCTGCCATAAATGGATTGAAATACATTTTTAGCCAAAACTTCACCACAAAACAATCATAAAACAACATCTCAGATATCAGGCAGCGTATTCATAGCCTTTTTGTACAAAAGCATTCTGTAATGTAGCATTACACCAAGGCATTAAACTTCTAGACGCCTGGTTCCTATCACCACCACTGTGAACAATTCTGACTTGGCAAGTTTTTCAAGAATGGAGCATTTCACACCAAACAACTCTGCATGGCTTTGTTTACATTTGAACCATTTAAAAATGTGGATTTTTTTTTAAATCAGTATAGCTCCCCTTTAAATTTAGCAAATAAACAGTAATTGTATGTTAAAATGTGCATAAGAAAGTTCTCTGTAGAGTATACATCAACTTAGAAAATCAATAAAACTTATTTTATTGTAATTTGGACAGTGTTCAAACTCTTGTATATGATTATACAGTATTTACATACTGTTAGTGGCCTTTGTTGGTCGAACTGAATTAATGCTTGACTATTCAAATTCTAATTGTGGTTTGAGTACTGATGAATATTAAAAATGCCCGTCCTTAATAAACAGCATAGCAATAAACCAGATTACATATTGAAATAAATTTATAACAAACTGAAATCATGTTACAGTAACAACACAGCCACATTGAAACACTTATGGTAACACTTAGGCTTCTTTGCCTCGGGCAAGTAACATGATCCTGTATGCTATTTGCTCATTGATTGTACAAATGCATCATCCCAAGCACAGGCACGGCACTTTGACCTCTGCCCGGCGACTGCATATAGATAACACATTTGTCATTTACCTCACAAAGCCCCCCACTGAAAGTGCCCTTGAGCACATGCTAGTGAGTTTGACCTGTGTGGGTGTGTGTGAGACAGAGACAGATTGTGTGTGAATGTGTGCATGTGTGTGTGTTTGTGCTTCAGGTGGCCGCTGGGCTCGAGTGCTCTCCAGTGCGGTTTGGCTGGGGCGTGGCAGTGACAGCTCCAGGCAGCAGTCAGTGACGGCACCATCGCCCTCTTCCCTCTGTCCCTCCCCCATCACACTCTTCCTGCTCTCCTCCTCATTTCATCAGCTTCCTTTCTCTCTCTCTCTCTCTCTCTCTCTCTCTCTCTCACTCTGTCAATGTGGCTATTTTTGGCAGATGCACGTTTCCTCTGCTCACGTTTGTCTGCAGGTCGACTGCAGTGGTGTCACACGAGGGCTGGACAAAGTGCTACCTCAGTGTCCTTACACGCAAATCCAAACACTGACAAAATCTGGGAGAAATCTACAAATCAGCTTTTCCATCTGGCTCCTCCATTTACTGGCAGATTGCGGCCTGAGTTTCAGACAATGACAATGACGGGCAGATCTGCTGAGACATCAGCTCATCCCCCCACGTATGTCTAAATGACCCACACCAAGAGCCAACATGGTAACTACTGCAGCAGGACATCCAAAGGCATTATGACTTTTCAAGTAAATAGGAAGTAATTTTGGATCACATTCACACTCAATTAATCTAATAGAGATCCTCAAACTGAAAGCAGTAAACACTGTTTTGTCTGTTTGCTGAGAAATCTTAAAGTGACAGGTATGCATTGATGGAGTTGCGAGTCAATGCCGCTATCCAACATTTTCCAGGTATATATCTGCTGATGCCAATGCTGATAAATAAGTATTTAGAAGAAACAGAAATTGGGTCTAGATTTACAGTTGAATGCAAACTTTTTTCTTAGTCAAATTACATGTTTTGATGTACTAAGTGGCCCTGCGATGGACTGGCGACCTGTCTAGGGTGTTTCCTGCCTTCCGTTCAATAGCCGCTGGAATAGGCTCCAGCACCCACCACGACCAAGAAGAATAATCGGTTTAGATAATATGTATGTGTGTGTGTGTGTGTGTGTGTGTGTGTGTGTGTGTGTGTGTGTGTGTGATTTTTGAAGTGAAAATAAGTTAACCCATCCTCTACAGAGAACAAACTTAAATATGGCTTTTTTCTGCAATTGCTGCATGATTTCTATTTATTTGCTTATGAGTCTTAACATCTTGGAAAAAAAAATAAACAAAATACGAAATGTGCCATAACCTGTGCACAGACCACAATTTAGCATTATAGAGTAATATATAAAATTATTTCTATAGTGTTACAAAAAAAGTAAAATGATTAAAGTGGAAATATTTTAGAGAAGTGGCCCAGTGCCACCTAAATATTCACCTATCAGTCTGAAACATTGGTCAAATCTAAACATCTGTTTTAAGTTTTTTTTCCCCCCAATATCATTGTGCATCCCTAGTGATAGTTCATTGAAAATTCAGATTTACACAGTTCTCCCCTTACCTCAAAGGTAGTTGATAAGACGCTTGGTGTCTCAAGTTTGCGTCTTTAGTTTTGCTCTGGAGCTTCAAGGATAACATAGCAAAAAAGTAACTGAAACTTATGTACACTAACTAGCATTACAGAAACTGCATGCACCTTTCATCATATAGGCCTACTTGCCTCAAATCGTGTGGAGTAAGTAACACATTTACTTATGTGGTTTCTGATAATGTATGACATACTGTTATATATTAAAATGGATGAAAGTACGCTGCATGGATTCCTTTTTTATACCACAGCATGTCACTGAGCATCAGATGCTAATTGGGGCAAATTTTTAATAGCTACATTAGCCTCATATCACTAACACAAAAATAAAGAGTAAATGTGATTGTCTGCTGATCTGTTGATTTAAATCTATCACAGTCATGGCTGACTGCAAACGTTGACAATACTGTTCTTGAACCTGATCATGTGACAAGTAAACAGATGGGGAGGAGGACAGAAATGAGATGGACAGATGAGGAGAGTGAGAGCAATGCCTGTATGAGAGTGTGAAGGTGTACTGGAGATGTTCTGGTTGAGTGTGGGCTACATAAAAAGCCCTGTGATGCAACAGAAAACAAGGTGCATGCTCAGCCTAGGTAACAGGCATGTGCTCTCACAGCCCTGTGAGACCACCCAGCAGTCTTTATATGATCAGTACCTTGTCACAGTAATGATGTATCACTCGAGGCCAGTGTTTGCTTTGTGTGAAACTTGCTGCTGAGCCCTACTCCATTCCAGCAGCCAGTCTGCTCCTCCAGCTCACCACTGCCCTACATACACTGGGTAAAGTAGCACCACTGGGATGCTATTTTTAAACCCTCAGTAGCTGAGAGGTACACGGATCCAGTGGAGAGAATTAGAGGGTGCCAGTGGTAAACCAACCACAACAGGCTGAGTTTAGGCAACCCCTGCCTGAAGGAAATGTGACTAAGAAGGGCGTTGCCGGGGAGGACGTCTCAGAAAGTGGACGTCATGGACCACATCAATCTATGTAAAAGTCACAGTGTACTGGTTTGACAGAAAATAAAATTTACAATGTATTTTCCACCTACCCCCGATGTAGCCAATCAAGACATTTTTGGTATCCAATTTAGTTTAGCACTGAAACTATGTGTCTAACATTGCTAACAAATACTAGAAATCAATAGTCACCCAAATGTTTTCAGTAAATAAGGCTGGGGAACTGATGCCACACTGTGCTACAGTAGGGGATCGACCTGCTATTTTGGCAGGCCTCATTCTTTGTTTACATTTCACAAACATGCAGTTTAAAAGCTTACTGCCAGATTTAACTTGGCTAACTTACTGGCAGATTTCACTCATTAATTGCCGTATTTCACTCAGCCACTTTAGGTCTTTTGCGCCAACACTGCAAACTAGATAGCAAACTAATGACACTATTACTTTGCTATATTATTCCTCACAAAACAGTAAATCACTGAAGGGCAGTCAATCTAAAATATTTACGAAAAACAGAAAAATGCTAACCATCTGGTTCCTCAGAACTTCATCTTGTATCTTTTAGCTGGAAAACAGCAAGTTTGTGGAGTTTCCTATCTGATAAATACTAGAAAATTCATTAAATACTGTTGAAAGTTTTATTC